GTAAATGCCTGTTATACCAATACATGCGTTGTCATGTGACAGGCTTTTCAGACATTTACAGGCTGTCCTAATATGTAAAGGCGTTGACATAATAAAAACATTGAGTACATACAGGATATTATTTGGTACAACGTGAACATGCTAATAATGTGTGTCTAGTTACCGAGTGTACGATAAGTGACGATCATATTTCTCGATTTATTCGACTCAGCATTCCCTTCTTGTTCAAAGACATGAAGAGAACTCAAAGGAGCGTTGAGGGGGCTCAAGCCAACATTGGGAAGTGGACTAACCCCCCCCCCCCCCTACAATGTGTATAAAGTGTCGCCCTGGACGCGGCCAAGGTTTCTAAAAAATTGAATGGTTGTCAAACATGACGAAAGCCTGTACAGAAGCCTATAGATGAAATTAAAGTTTGTGCACCTCGGGCGAAGAACGTATAATAACCGAAGCGACAGGAAGCTGTTCATCCTTGCCTACACCTGACACAACCGAATGTTTTTCTCGCAATGCTGTGTGTCTGTTAGATACGCCTATTCGATATTCAGAATATTTGCTATGAGTTTTGATTACGGTCAAGAAACGACGTCCAATTATCTTGAGGAACACTAGGCGTGCACGAGGAACATGTGCCAACGAGCTTCTTCAGCGTCCTCTTTTTTATCTTCTCATACCATGTGCTGCCCTCACACTGGTGCTCTTTTTCTCGTTGACCTCGCATCGATATAGTATCGTGCTGCCACCTATGAAGCCGCGGGATAATTTAACAGATGGCTTGGCGTGTGGGGCTTGTCACGTGCGGCAGCGGACTGTTGAGGGTGCGTCTGTGAAAACGTGCGATTTGACAAAAACGGACCCTTCTTTCGGGCAGGAAGGAGTCGTCAGGATGAGGTAAGCTGCTACCTCTGGTACTGAGCGTTGTTTGTCGGGGTTCTGGCCGGATATGTGGGCGCGGGCGTAGCTGGAGCCTGGTGCTGCCGGGCGTCACGGCGCGCGGCACCGGGAACGGTACGCGCCGGCGAATGGCCGACGCGTGAGTCATGCCGACGTGTACGGCCCGCGAACACGACCGGCTCCTGTGCACGCTGTGCGCCACTCGCCGCACGTTTTCAGAGGGGGATGACAGGCGCGCTTAAGTCCGCCCCCCGCGGACAGTTCATTTACTCGGTAGGACGCGCTGCCTGAACGATCGGCCCCAGCTGCCAGCCTTGGCGCCCGAGTCCCCGAATCCGGTCACCGTGCACACCGGCCTGGCTGCGACGCCGCCCGCCTGCCCGGGAACCCGACAAGGCGGCTGCGCATGCAGCAGATCCAACTCAGGCACCCGTTGCGTGGGTGGAATGAGTGATGTGCTCTTAATGGTGCGCGGGTGCATAGCCATCTACGAAGGAACAGCGATCGAGAGGCAAGTACCCAGGGCAGTTGGGCGCGCCCTAAAAACTCAGTTTAGAAGACGTCAGACAGGGACGATTTAAGCCACCACTTTGAACCCAGAAGACTGATCTGCTACTCTCTACCAGGCAAACCTTATGCTTTAGCCCCCCCCCCCCCCCCGGCCCCCGGCGTCGTACGACAAATAGATGAAGGCATCTTCTAGCTACACGAGCAATGTCGTAGACCTTCCTGTGCGGAGAAGGTGGGCCGCCGGAGTACCTTGTTAGCGCTGTATGCGCCGATGTGTGAATTAACGCGGCAAACAGCAGATAACGGAATACTCTTCATCAGTCCCCGAGTTACCAACATGCTGTGTGGCCAGCGGACGCGTGTGGTCGAGGCTGTGGCACGGCGAACGGTGACAGCCCATGAGCCTGCAAAACCACGTGCGGATGCGGGCAGGAGCGGCAAGAAGGCATGCTGTGCCCCTTACTTTTTGATCGCTCAAACTTCCAATGGCGTAGAATGGAGTTCCCTCGCACGCACATAGACCGTGCCAAAGGTTCGGAATGCCTCTCCCCTACAAGGAGGCACGCCTTCGCACTCGTATGCTTCTCGGGGCCGCGCCACTGCCACGGCGCCGAGATCGCCGGCGCTCATCGCGGAGCAGAGCTAGAGGGACAATATTTTCTAAGAGCGTGGTAATATGAGCGGAGATCGCCAGTCACGGCGGTGCGTTCAGTCAGTGCAGGTACATACCATCGAGCCCGGACGCTGCCATACCGACGAAGTCGCGAGCGACGCTCGTGTC